TGCGTGGGGAGGGGGGCTGCATGTCGAGCCCATGATACCAGCGGCCACGAAGGGGCCTCGCCGGCCTCGTAGTAGGTGGAGTCCATTTGGTTAATGGTGGCAACGGCGCGGCTACCTTCGATGAACTCCACACGCCGGCAAGCCTCTATTTCGCAAGCAGCAAGGGGATGTTGCGTTGAAAACGCATGTTGCAAGCATATGTTTCAAGTGTTTTGGATGTTTTAGAGGTATGTTGCAATTGTTTCAGATGAATGTTACAAAAGTAGATCAGAATGTTGCAATGGTTGTACACGTATGTTGCAAAGGTATGTTCCCAATGTTTCATCTGTGTTTTTGGACGTATTGTTGCAAGTGTGTTTATCTGGATGTTGCATACGTTTCACACATATGTTACAAGTATTTCATCTGGATATTGCGTATGTTTGCAATGATTTTCAAGTGTTTTTCATGTTTTTTGCAAATGTTCCAGAAGCATGTTTCAAGTGTTTCATTTGTCTTCAGACGTATGTTACAAGTGTTGCATCTGTATGTTCCAAAAGTAGATCAGATGTTGTACATGTTACAATGCGCGTGAGAAGCGGAGAGGACACAACCGGTCTGGCGCAAGCTCCGCATGGGCACATGAAACCTAGGCACAGGCAGGGGCGTGCTGATCTTTTTTTTTGCAAACGCAGGTGTGGATTGCTGGTGCGAGCGTGGAAAACTGCAGCGTGGGCGTCCGGAAGCGGGGCTCGGCCTGAACGTTCGGCCACTATCGTCCCGATCTAACAAAGGAATACACTTGCTAGCTACTGCCAAGTCAAACAAGTTTCAGTTTAACAGTTCTCTTCATAAAGATTTATAAATAATTATGATATCAAATTATTGTCATTAGATTTAGGGACAATTGTCTGTTGGATATCCAAAGTGATGGTGCTTTGCTGGCGGACACTCACTTTGGAGCATTTTGTCAGAAGACACTCTGGTTCGGTGAAATTAGGTCACAGGACACCGCGGACCGGTTGCAGCCGGTTGAGGAGAGAGAACAGCGGTGAAATGACATTCTTGCCCCTGCCGCGCTTCTTTCTCTCCTCTCTCCCTCTCTCTTTTTTTCTGTTTCCTGCGACGCCGCGCCAAAGACGCGGTCCACGAGGATGGCGACCGAGCAGGGCGCGCTCTGGAGCACGCGGACGTTGGCTCCACCTCTCGCGCGGACACCGTTCCGTGCCCCGCACAGCCCCTCGTCGGCGCACATGTATCGACACTCACACATCACTCCGAGCCTCACCTTCTCCACCACCATCTCCTCACCAGCTTTTGCCCAACACCGTCGCGCGTGAGCTCTGCCCGAAGAGAAGCTTCTGCCAATTCCACGCGCGCGGCTGCTCGTTGACCCGCCCAAGCCCTCCACCGCCGAGCAGGATCCCCCTCCATCGCCGCCGCGGCAAGCCGAGCAGGCCGGCCGCCGCACTTCCCCAAGCCGGACCACTACCTCCAGTCGTAGGGTCGCGCGAACACGACCTCGACGAGCTCCTACGACGACGGCGAGCAGCACCGGACCAGTGGGCTCCTTAGTCGCGCGGACCCACGACGAGCTCATCCACACGCGCCAGATCTGGCAGGACCTTCCTCCCTCCCTGCTCCCAGCTCGCGGGCCTCTGCTCGGGACAGACGAGCGAGCGCGAGAGCTCCGCCGCCGCCTCTGCCCCTGCCACGGCGCAGCTGCTCGCCGGCCCTGTCTAGCCCCTGCCCCGGGCTGCTCCAGGAGGAAGGAAGAAGATGACGAGTGGGGCCCGCTCTTAGAGGGAGATAGTGGAGTGGACGGTGCGGGGCGCGGGGCGGTGTGCGCGTGCGGGTGGAGCCAACGTCCGCGTGCTCCAAAGCGCGCCCTGCTTGGTCGCCATCCTCGTGGACCACGTCCTCGGCGGCACGGCGCAGCGAACCAAAAAAAAGAGAACGGGAGAGAGGCAGAAGAAAGCGGCAGGGTCAAGAATGTCATTTCACCGCTGTTCTCTCTCCTCAACCGGTTGCAACCGATCCGCGGTATCCTGTGGACCTAATTTCACCGAACCAGAGTGTCTTCTGGCGAAATGCTCCAAAGTGGGTATCCGCCAACAAAGAACCATCACTTTGGATGTCCAACGAACAATTGTCCATTAGTACTATTTTTTTACAAATTTTCGTTAAACTTAAAAAGATTTAACTTGTAGCAAATCTAGAAGTGCGTTTTCTTTTTGGACGGAGGGCATTAGTGTCGGAGGAACTAATCAATTCTTCTTAAGCCAAAAATGTGGTCGCTGCCGGTGAGCGTTTCGGCAGGTTGGGGTGTTCCCAGCATTCGGCAACTGTTTCGAGAGTGTAATGGCAACTCCGGATCCAGCACCACATGCCTTTCCGCCAGTTCCAAACCGTCCAGGGGAGGCAACAATTTCTCACCATCATTGTTAAGGATACTGAAACTTGTCAGTTGCCACAAGCAGACAGCATTATGTTAACTCTGCAAACATAAGGCATCCAATAAACCCATAACACACTTTGGATGACAACAATACTGTTTAACACTGATGAAACCCATCAGGATATCAAAGGAAAACAAAACATGGAGGTGGTGACAAAATCAAATGAATGGATTTCATTAGTCGATTGATGGTAAGCATTTGAGCTATACATACAGATTGTATGGTGGATTGGAGGGTCTCCAGTCTACCAGATTAATGGATATAAGTACTCCAATCAACAAACAACCAGGGTGAAGTGAGTTGTAGTCGATTGATGGTAAGCATTTGAGCTATACATACATTTGAGCTATACATACATATTTTTTTTTGACACCACTGAGACAGAAGAGCATAAAAGGATAGATTTGGACTTCATTGCTCACAGTTTTTTTTTTTTTTTGAAAACCTATCGCTCACAGTAAATACACCAGGAAAAATTAAACCAAAGTGAAAAACCAAACCAATTAGTTAAGGCCCGGTTGCCAACAAAAGAAAGCACCATGGATGAATCTCCAGCCCTTGCTGAGCCAGTCGATGGATGAAGGAGAGTTTGGGGTTGGTGCTCTGGTGGAAGCCTGGAAGGTCGCAGGATGTCTTTCGGCAGCACACGCAAAGATTAAGTGATTGGGCAGTGTACCAAGCAAAGCTTGATAATGGGGCAGCCGAGAATTGGGATTGCGAGGCAGCACAATTTTGTGACCAAATTTTCATTACTTAACTCACAGTTCATCTGCTGCCACCATGGACAAATGGAAATCAGATGCAAACTGCCAACCATGGTGGAATTGGATTTCAAGTGTTGGAATCCTAAACAAGCACCTTCATGCCAAGTCCACAAGTATCCGTGATTATGTAATCCTCATAAATTTCCATGCTGTGACTTTGATACAGATACTTTCTACCACCATAACAAGGATCAGTATAAAGTTGGCTCTACAAAAGTACCCTAAAAGTAAGAACCCAAAAATAAAATAAGCGCAAGGAAATTCACAAATCCAAGCTCTACAAGCTTCTACACTTACAGGTGAGTAGTGCTCAAGCATGCGCCACCAATGGTTGATTGAATGACTCCGTTCGGATGGTGCAAAAATTGCACTGTTTATGGCTGAAAGTTACTGTTCACGGCCGATTTCCTTTCATAAATTCATCCAGATTCCTCCAAATTCCTTCAAACGAACGGGCACAATGTCCTGCTAACCGTCCCTGAACTATGTCTGGCATGAAAACTGAGCAATCAATGTTTTCTTTTCCCTTCAATTTCTTTTGCTGCTGTTATTTTTCAGCACATTATCTCCTTCCCACGCTGTGCGCTTATGCTATTTGTCAACCAGATCAATGTTTTTAAGGTGTCGCTTTTGCGTCGCTTTGGCGTCGCCTAATCGGCAAGGCGCTACAGGCGGGACGCCTTGGCGGACGACTCGCCTCAGATTGGTATGGCGTCCGCCTTACTGCCATGGCGTCCGGAAGTCGTCGATTTGGCGTCCGATTCGTCGAAATCGAGCAAGACGGGCGCCATACGGGGATGGCCACGGTAGGAAAACGCCGGCGCGGGAGAAAGGACGGGGAAAGCATCGCGCGCGCGGGAGATTAGGCGCGCGGGGAGAGAGGAGCGCAGGAGAAATCAGAGAGCAGAGAGAGGAGCGCTCGCAGGGAAGAACCTGCTCGCCCGCCCGAACGCGTTCGCCCGCGCCGCCGGTAGAAGCTGCTGCCGCCGAGGCTCCGCCTCCCCCTCCCCAGTTCCCCATCCGCGCGAGGAGCAGCCGCCGGCGGGCTGCTGTTTCCCCGTCGCCTCTTCTGGTCCTCCATTGAGCAGGGTGCCTGGTGCGCGCCGGGCGTCGCGAGGATCCGGCGGAGCGCCGCGGCCAGGGACTCCCCCGAGCGGATGCCGCGGGAGGACTCCTCCACGGCGAAGTAGGGGTAGCGCGCGGCCATCCCGGCGGTGGTGGCGGAGGAAGCGGAAGCGCGGCGAGCGGAGGGCGGAGGCTGGAGAGGAATGGGATCGGAAAGGGGAGTGTGTGGTGTGCTGTGGTGGTGTGAGTGTGACTGACTTGGCGTCTACTGCACTTGAGGGCTGCTGCGTCAACCTGGAAGTCAGTCGGGGGTGGGTCACGTCTATTCCGTGAGATTGTGACTCACAAAGTTGCTTGGCTTTTTAGGTTGGACAACACCAAGGTATGACATGCTTCCAGTTCTCTGGTCTATACCACTGTTGGATGGCCGTAAGGCGTCGCCTCGCCTTGCGCCTTACTCGCTTTAGCGTAAGGCGGTAGTTGGTCGCCTCGCCTCGCTTTACCGCCTTAAAAACATTGAACCAGATACCTTACTCTATTAGTCAGTCGCTATCTCCATGTGCAGATATAGTACAGCCTACACTTTGCCAACCAATATCAAAGCAAAACCTTTCACCAGAAATCCTCACAAGAACATTGGCCATCCTTGAAATGATGGAACCGATACAAGTCTCGAACAACAATCTCCTGATTTGTGGCTCGGGTTATAAACTTGATTGCCTCGTGGCAGTCCTCAAACACGCAGATTCTTGAAGATCCGAAGTGGCATCCCAACAGGGGTGCTGATGATCCCAAATGCAATAGCAAGTTTCTCGCTGTGGAACTTCAGAAATGTTTCTCTCTGTTCCTCCTCAATATCGTGTACAACAAGATCAGTTCTACCTGTGTACCCCATTTCCTTCAGCCTCTCCATCAGTTTCTCCAAGTAAGCATAAATTTCAGCCGATCTCGGGTGAGACACGTCCAGTGCAACAAATCTATGCACGGTATTTTTCAGATGGATCCATGATTGACCTGGCTGCTTTCTGACTCTCCTTTCCCTCATTGAACTTCTGAGCTTGAAAGTGTCAAGCCATTTGCTGTTGGTGGCGTACATGTTTGACATCAGAACATATGATCCAGCATCATATTGTTCTAGTTGAACCAACTTTTCAGAAGCCAATTTTGCATACTCAATGTGCTTGTGAAGTCGACAAGCTGACAGCAAAGTCTTCCAAACAATAGCTTCATGGCTGATCTTGTTTTCCTCAATGAAATTCTTTGCTTTGCCGAGTAGCCCAGCTCGTCCATAAAGATCAACCATGCAATTGTAGTGCTCAGTGCTTGGAACAATTCCATACTCTTCCTGCATAAGGTTGAAGTAGTGGTATCCCTCGCTGACCAAACCACTATGGCTACAAGCAGATAGAACAGCGACAAGGGTTATCTCATTTGGCGTGATCTTTTCAGCCTTCATTCTGCTGAAGATCTCTAATGCCATTCTTCCTTGCCCGTGTGTTGCATAGGAGCACAGCATTGTAGTCCAGAGAGCAACATTCTTGTCCTGAGCACTTTCGAATATCCTGCAAGCATCTTCAAGGCTACCACACTTTGAATACATGTCAACGATGGCAGACGCTAATGGTGCATCGAATCTGTGACCCAGCTTCTCAACAAATCCATGCACTTGCCTGCCTTGCTCAACCATCCCTGCATTTGCACAGGCAGCAGCTACACTAGTGAGGATGAACTGCCCAGCAGGAACTCCTTCACGCAGCATCCTGAGGAAGAACTCAAGAGCTTCCTCCTCCCTGCCATTCTGGATATACCCAGCGACCATCGTGCTCCACGCAAATTGTATGTCCTCTGTAAACTCTGACCAGCGATCAAAGATTGACAGAGCAGCCTCCATTTCTCCACACTTGCAGTACATGTCCATGAGAGAGCAGCCGACAAACGTATCCTCCTCCAATACAGCCACCATCACGCAACCATGGAGCTGCCGGCCTAGGTCCCGCAATGAAAGCAAGCCAGCCAAGGTAAACGCCATGGAGTAAGTGTAGTTACTAAACGCAACTCCAGCTCTCACCATTTGCTGCAGGCGATCCAACGCCTCAGTGGCGCGCCCATGCCGCATAAGCCCGCTGATGATCGTGTTCCAGCTCGAAACGTCCCTCAACGACGATTCATCGAACAGCCACATTGCCCCCACAATGTCGCCGTCCTGCAGACACGCCCTGATCACAATGTTCCAGGATGTGGTGTCCTTCTGGGCCATCGCCCCGAACGCCCTCCTGGCGCGCCCATGGTCGCCGCACTTGGCATACATGTCGAGGACTGCATTGCAGAGCACCACGTCCGGACACACGCCGCTCCGCAGAATCCACCCGTGGATGCACCTGCCGGACTCGACGTCGCCGAGCCCCACGCAACACCGGAGGACGCCTGCGAGCACGAAGGCGTTCGGCGCGGTCGCACCGCATCCGTCCAGCATCTCCGTGAACGCGCGCATGCCGTCCGCGTGCCTGCCTTCACACGCGCAGCCGGAGATGATCGATGTCCACGCCGGCAAGCTCCGCGTAGGCGTTCTGTCGAACACCCTGCGCGCGTTGTGTAAGCCACGGGCTTTTACCCAGGAGGACGGGACACAACCGCGCACGCGCTGTCGATGTGTCTCAGACAAGTCCTTTTTAGCTGCACAGGTCCCCCGGAGGAGCCCGGCGGAGGAAGGAAACATGAAGAAAGTCTGCGGCGGCAGCTTTCCTAGCCGCCTGGGCCATCAGAGAACGCGCTTCCGTCTGGTTAGTCTTCGTTCTCCTGGCCGTCCAAAAGGTAAGGTGGCAGTCGCATTTGCACCTCCCCAGCTCACGCACGACCGGGAGCGCGAGTGCAGAGGCCGGGAGGACGGCGACGGGAGCGGTAGCTACCGTCTGGCTAGTCTGGCCGTCTGGGAGAGCAGCGGGCGGCTGGACGCGCGGAGGGTCTGGTCGTAGACTCGTAGGGCATTTCATTACGCGTTTAGGAGCTAATTTTAGCACATAATATTTGTGGTAGGCATTTGGGCTAAATTTGTTTTGAGTTTTCCTTTTAAAGGAGATCAACAAATTTGCAATTTGCATTTGGGCTACTATTTCTTAGCTGTTAATTTAATCTGATTTAAACTCTATACAGTAATGCTATAACTTTTTATCAAATATTTGTGGTAGGCATCCAAACTAGCCACATAAATTTTGCCGCACCTTAGTGATGAACCAAACAACCTAATTTTAGCACATAATATGTCAAGCCACAAGTATGGGTGATTGGCAAACACCTAGTCTTAGACATGGCAAACTGTGGCCAGCAACCAAACAGGTCCATGTTCACAAAATTGAAGGGGCTCTTTGGCATGTGCAAAATTGAAGGGGCTCTTTGGCATGTGCAAAATTGAAGGGATCTCTTTGCCTCATTGATATAAAGAGTGGCCGGCAACTAAATATACCGGTGTTCAGCCAGTGGATGATAAAGTGAGTTCTATTAAAGGGTTTATGTGCAAAAAAACAAACAAAACAAAACTTGCATCTGTTCTTTGTTCATGTGTAAAATTGGAGAGGCTCTTTGCCTCTTTGATATGTGCTCCTATGTAATCACTATTTTTTGGCTAAAAAAGGGTATTAATAAGATGAATGTAAAATGTCTAACAAAGTGTCTTAGAGCGCTCCAACACTTCATTCTGTAGCTATCGAATTTTTTTCTCATTTTCGCGCAAAGAACTTCGAGGAATGTGTTTAGAAAAATTAATGTCCACCCTGTTATTATTATTATTCTAAGTTAAACTCTTCTAATTGTAGCCAAGTCTATAGAAAATGCACCAACGGATATAAATAATTTTATTAATTTTTCCATGAAATATTTGATCGTGCATCTATTTGAGCTTGTAGATGATAATACAACAGATAGCAACAAACCAGCACATGAAATGGCATGCGTTCAGAAGGATGCGTGTCAAAACTCGACTATAATTCGGAACGGTTTGTCAAGTATGGCCTTTTTTTTCTTTGTTACCCTAAATGATGGGTGGGAAAAGGCACATCCCCGGTTGCAAATACAAATGTCATCATCCATCGTAGTAAATCCAGGAACACCACAATTTAAACAAACCAAGACACATCTAGATTCAACTAAACATATCATCTCATCCTATGTTAACTTGACAAACACACTGATATGATGCTAGATTATCCATCACCGCACTTCAACTACAAGGTGCATTTCCCAGGCAGAGGAACACAAGCAAAAGGGATGCTCTGGAAGCTCATGGTCTAACACGACCAAAAACTATTACAGCAACTGAATTCCAACTAACCAACATTATCCACCAGAGTTCAAAACTTGTCCATAACCAATATTGCCTTCACCATTTCAAAAAAGAACCTTTCCGTATAACATTAGCTCTACTTGCTTTCCCGGGGCATAACAGGGAAAACAAATGTAAAAGGATCAATCATCGTCTTTCTTCGGCTTACGGTGGGTTTCCTCAATGTGCTTTGCCAGAAAAACATATGTGTTGAATAGCTTCTTTATGTTCGGAACGTTGTAGTTCTGAGCTACATAGATACCACATCCCATTCCCACCAAAAGAGTGAAGCTGCCCCTGAATAACCCCATCGCAACAAAACCTGGTACCAAGATTAAAACACTTATGTAAACCCAGAAATATGATTCCAATGCAAAACATAAATGACTACTAGAAAGCAGAACACAGCTGAAAATGGTTGGGATCATAAGCAATGAACACCATATTGGTTGTCCAAAGTGTCACAAAATGATATTGCTGTCCAAAATGGCAAGCTGTTCAAGCTATCATGGTGACAGTTATAGTGTCTCCAAGGAAACTAGCAACTTAGCCCATCCAAACTTTTAAGCTAAGTTTATCTTCAATGAAACACAAAACTATATCTGCAAGCACTAATTTCACTAGATCTCCTAATAAGGCTTCATGTCATTAGAGACCCAATTAAAACATAAGCCGTCAGACTGCCATTTTCTATTCATGGGTTAACACAACTGCAAGATGCAAAGACGAGGAATCTTCTGCCAGACTGGGTCAACTGGAAAAGCACTAGAGCAGAACAAATTAAACCATAGTTGCTAATCTGATAGACAATTCATTGCAAATTTGACAAAGCCCAATAAAATGTGAGGTGGTACATGAAACTAAGCTGAGTAAATCTGATGGCCAAGCAGATAAAGTTCATGCAACTATGAACTAACTTTTTAGGAATAGATGTTGTACCCTGTGGCACCAGTGGAACTGTTTATTTAAAGACAACTTAACACAGCTCTCCTGCGTATTCAAGGGGAAAAAATCAAGACAACTAATATTGCTTGGCATGTGGCAATGCTGTGATAAATTAACAGCTTAATCCTTTCCTAGTTTAACATCTAAACACTGATAAAATTTCTAAAGCTTAATAAGCATATCATCTTTTTTTTTCTCGAACACGCAGGAGAGCTGCATATCATTAATAAGCATATCATCTCACGTGGAAAGAAATACATAGTTGGATATTTAAGCAAAGTGGCCGATCTAAGTAAATATTATGGAGTTATCTGATAGAACAAGCTGCATGGAGGATTGGAGGGTAGCAGGTCTACCAGACTAATGGGTAAGTAATCCAATCAACAAATGACCAAGGTGAAGTGAGTTGTAGGTAATAAGGTCAATACAGCAAGAAATATCTCTTAAAGAACTGTGCAGACAAATTACAGCTGTAAGTCTGCTTATACTATTTGTTGAGAGAATATCCAGGAGGTTCATCACTTTCTACAACTACAGAATGATGAAGAAACACTGGAGTTGGATTACAGATACTGAAACTTATCATGGACAGACAGCATCATGTTAGCTCTGCAAGGGCATCCGACCCATAAACATTTTGGATTACATAAGTAAAATAACAGTGATAAACCCCATCGGGACAAAAACAAAACATGGAGGTGATGACCAAATCAAACGGATGGATTTCATTAGTGGATTGACTGTAAATGAATCCATGACTAAAAAGAATATTCCTTCCAATAAGTGACACATTTTTTGCACTAGTTAGACAGAAGATCATGAAAAGGACTCCATTGCTCACAGTAAATACCCAGGAGAAATTAAACCAAAGTTACACCAATCCAATTAGTTAAGGCTTGGTTGCTAGCAAAAGAAAGCACTACGGATGAATCTCCAGCCCTTGCTGAGCCAGTCGATGGATGAAGGAGAGTTTGAGGTGGTGCTATGGTGGAAGCCTGAAAGGCAAAGTTCAAAAAGGCGACGCCTTAGGCGCGCCTAGGCGCGACTAATCGGGAGGCGACGGGCTTCGCCTGGCCTACGGGGGTAGGCGGAACCCCTAGGCAGGCGCAGCGCCTTGGCGGCGCAAGGCGGCGTGGAGGCGGACGCCTCAGGCGAGCGCCCGAAATTTTCCGCCCCCGCGGAAGCGCGCGCGCAGCTGGCTTCGGGCGTGGGAAAAGAAGCCTCGCGCGGGAAGGATAAGAGGGAGAAGGGGGGAAAAGGACGCACGCCTGCCTGCTTCGTGCTTCTGCCGCTCTCAGACTGCCGCTGCCGCTCACCCGCCTCCGCCTGCGACCCCTCCAGGAAGCTGCTCCCAACAGCCGCGCTCCTCCCTGCCGGAGCCGGGCAGGTGGATCCGTAGGCCGCGCTCTTCCCCGTCTGGAAGCTCCTCCCCGTGGCCCGTCCCTAAGCTCCTCCCCGCCTGGAAGCACCTCCCCGTCGGTCGCACTGCTCCCCGCCTGGAAGCTTCTCCCCACCGGTCTCATCTTCCCATCGGCGCACCCCTCCCGCAGGCGCATCCCTCCCCGACGGTGTCCTCCGGTACTCCCTAAGCGGCAGCCCCAAGGTCAGTCCCCTCCCCTGCTCGCTGCTCCCCTCCCCTGCTCCTCTCCCCTGCTCTGAAGCTGAATACTCTGGATGCCTGAATGCTCTGAATGACTACTATAAATGCCTGAATGTTAGAGAGCCTGATCTGTGCTCTGAATCTGAATGTATGCCTAGCGAACACTGAGGGAGCGAATCTCCTAAGAAGGAATTCGGATGATGTGGGATGGGAATATGGGGTTCTTGTTGATGCTAACAAGGATAAGGTGAAGTGCAAACTCTGTGACAAGGTGATGCAAGGAGGGATTTACAATAAATTTGATTACAACCACAACATGATTGTTTGCTGTTTTCATCTGACAATAAATGGCTACTAACTAATAGAGGTGTTTTTCATTTATTTCAGCATCATGGTAACGGCTGTATGGAACTGAAACACCAGCTTTACAGAAGATGGCTACAAGGATCCTATCTTTGACATCAAGCTCTTCTGGTTGTGAAAGAAATTGGAGCGGGTTTGAAGGGGTTAGTACCTGTCTACCTGAAAATTGCAGCAGCATTACAATTAAATTGCAGACCTGAAAATGCTCTTATTTTAAATTTATAGGTACACACTAAGAAGAGAAATAGGC